CAAGCCATCAAGAAGCTGACTGGAAGCTGAGAGCCCCAGAGGGATTTTGGAACCACACTGGTCCCAAAACAGATAGAAGTGACCCTGCCAAGGACAGTGGAGCCGAACCTGCCCTTAGGGGGAAATCTGTCTCCTGGTCTGGCAGCAGGGCTTGCTAGGAGCCTGCACTCCCTGCCAGCCCCGCATCCCGCGCTGGGCTTCCCGGATGCACACGCATGGCAGGCACCACAAGCCTGGGTAACTTGCCACAGGCTCATGCTAGGATCCACCACTTACAGTCAAATATATTTACCACATAAGTTTTCAAAAGGAATGTATCTGCAGCGTAAGGAAAGACACAAAAACTCAATGTTTGTCTTTGCTGGGTTTTCTCCAACACTCTCTTACGTTACAAGAACGTAGATATTATCCAGTATTCCTTGCACTCTCACTGAAAATACAAAATAGTCGGAGAGAAACTGGACGTTTCCCAGGGGTACAGGAAAGTAAAGGGAAAAAAGGAAGTCCCTTGAGCAACAGATCTCAAAATGTACTTTCCTATGGATTTCTCTGTCTTGAATTACTGATTTTTTTAACTGAACAGTATTAGGACTGTCAGCTATTTCAGAGCACGCTTACACAAGTTCCACTACTTTCCCTTTGCAATCCTCTTCCTGAAGATAATCTGGCTACACCATAAGAGATCTGATGACTCCTAGCAGAAACCAACAAGTTCCTGAGTTGAACTGATAGACATACAGCCCCACTTTCTTCTATCTCAAATAAATTATTTTATGAAACTTAATTACTTAATTAAGGATCTTAATTACTTTTGTGACCTCTATCCTTCTGCCAGATTTAACTCAAATAAGCTGAGAAGCTAAAAAGTCACTGGGACAAGGACCTGCCCAATTGAGAGAGAGGATGCCCAAGGAGGCCAAGTACGGGCCTTGCTTCTGTGGGAAATAAAGCTGAAATGGCAATGTTGAGCTTAATGATGTTGACAGAGAAGCAAAGAAATTGCACAGGATACAAAAAGGACTATGATTTCAGAGAGCTTCAATGCATACGGTAACTTAGTCCATTATTATCACTTGCCACTAATGAGCATCCAGGAGTTGAATCCAAACGAACAGTGACTTCTGCCTCATGGTGAGTCATTTCTTCCATCCACAGAGGGCAAGGGGAGGCTTGGAGGGCTTCCTCGGAGGCATGTGCTCTGCAGAGGGTATCGTTCACAAAGCTTTTAGTGCTGCTGCTGCTGCTGAGCTTTCTGAATCATAGGGCTATTTTGGTGGTGCCTGGTGGGATGAAGGTCTTGTGGTGCAAGGGTAGTGAAACTCGGTGCTTCCTGAGTTCAGTGAGATTCCAAGGTGGGGAACCAGCTTTGTCTGAGAGTGCTCCAGCAGTAAGACTTGCTTGGTCTTTATTGGTCATGGTTGGATATTGGCTATTTCTGTAGCCTCCAAGGTCACCACTGGACTCTACAAGAAGTTCCTTCTCCAACGGGTGCAGACACTGGGAGTTAATAATTAATTTTCTTGAAAATGAGAAGCCCCTTTCTGTTTACCTGTGACCTGTTTTCACCCCTCAGAAATGCTGTCTGATTTTGGTAAACTCATTCCTTCTGAGAGATTTTTACAATCATAAAACACTCCACCTTCAGCACTTGCTTATTCTTTGCTCTGACAACTGCCAGGTACAGGCCAGTGATGTGCAGCAGCAGCCCTGCATACCAGGGTGCCTCAGGTATGCATCTCGCAAGGTGAAGAGAACAACAAGCACTTCTGATTCATGATTCAGTTTCCATGGTAGTAAAGATGGAGGGTGAGTCATGCACAGCTTTGGAGTTCTCATCACTGAAGCATCTACCTGGCCGTGCAACTCTGGAGATGGTAACTCTCCATCTTTAATTTTATGAGCCTGGGATGTGCAGCACAGAGGCCCTACATGGGTGCCTCAGAGTGCACTGCAAAGACACGAGACTCGGGTGCTCACACACAGCAGTTTCATGGTATGGAACAAGCATTAGGAGCAGCCTGCTGAGCCCATAGCCAGTGCCTGTGGTCGCTGGCACTGAAGATGCACAGCACATGCCTGCTCACAAAGGCGAAGAAACCCCCGTGCTGCTATTTGCCACAGCAGCTTCCTGACACTGTGTGTGACTGCATGGATGCAGACCTCTGTCTGGGACACTAAGAAGGGCGTGTGTCTTGCACATCGTGCCATGACACGCTGCAGCGTCATGAACACTGTTTTGGGATATACTGAATCATCCTTGCTGAGTGGTGGAGGAGATTCCTGAATGCATGGATGTAAGGAGCTGGAAGGTTAACAAAGCTCCAGGCTGATGATTTCAAGGCTGATGGGCCACATTTTGAATGTCGATGAATGTGAATTCAGTCTTGCATCACTTGGGTGGGGTGTAACTCAAAAAGGAGACTTGGAAACATAGTGGCTCTTCTGGTCAAGGTGGTGTATAGCCATGAAGAGAGGGGAGAACATCCCACATGCCTCATGCACTGCAATATATATCTATATATGTATGCATTTACATGCTGAGAAAAGAGAGAGCTGAGCAGCCACAACACAGGCTGGATGCTCACACAAATTGCTGATGGAGACCCTGCTTCTTTAGGAGCTCTTGGCTTTCAGACCCAGCAGTTTGGGGAGCAGAGGGGCAGACACTAGACAGTCCTCTTGTCCACTTGGATGGGGTAGAGAGAAAATGCTTCATGTTCGGTGCCCTGTGCCTGAACCCCTGTCCAGGTCAGTATGAACAAGTGGAACACTCTTGGGAGGATTTTCCTTTAAATTTTCCTACCTCTTAATGCTGCTCCTTCCACCTTGTGTGTCCTGTCGCACCCCATTGCGCCAGCAGCTCTTTCAGCCACACAGAAGGTGCTGTCTCAGGGCAGCCAGGGCTCCCAGCCCCCCCCTGCAGAGACCAGCAGGGCCGTGGCACAACACAGCTCCTGCTTCAGGGGGGTGCAAGGAGTCACAGCACACACCAACCACCAAATGTCCCCCGCAACAACCTGCCGGGCCCGCGCAGGCACAGAAAGCACTTGGCCGTGAAGCCTCAACGAGGTGGCGATGCAAAACCCGCGGTGCAGAGCAGCAGCAGC